AGACAGATAGACAGATAGATAGATAGAAAGATAGACGGATAGACAGATAGATAGATTAGATAGATAGATAGATAGATATATATATATATATATATTTAAATTATATCTATATTTAAATAAAGGGGGTTTTTTAGCTGTTAAGTAGGTTTTTTTTCTTTTTTTTTCCTTCCAGGATGCGAGACTTATCTACTTCAGAGAAACAGGAACATGTGAAGCTGCAGAGGCAGATGGAGAAGAAGAACACTGAGCTGGAGACTCTCAGGACTCTGAAGGAAAAACTACAGGAAGAATTTGTTCAGGCAGAAGCCACTATTGATGAACTGAAAGAACAGGTTTGTTTGAGCAATAAATTGACATTGCTTCTGTTCACCATCAGTTGCTAATCTGTGTATTGACTACTGTCTACAATCAGGTGGATGCTGCTCTGGGGTCAGAGGAGATGGTGGAGACTCTCACAGAAAGAAACCTCGACCTGGAGGAGAAAGTCAGAGAGCTGAGGGAAACGGTTACAGATTTGGTTAGTGGTTTAATCTAATTCTTTTTCACCTCTTTTTTGGATAAGACAAGAATGGAGTGAATTGTTATTTGTTAGTGAACTGTATAGAAATGAACCAAGATGGTAACCTCTTTAAGTCCTGATTTTATTTCTATTTTTTGCACCAACAGGAGGCCATCAATGAAATGAATGATGAGCTCCAGGAAAATGCCAGAGAGACTGAAATGGAGCTGAGAGAGCAGGTGGACTTGAGTGGTGCTAAGGTTAGAGAGGCCGAGAGGAGAGTGGAAGCTGCTCAGGAAACTGTGGCTGATTACCAGCAGACCATCAGCAAATACAGAGAACTTACTACCAGGCTCCAGGTGAACAGCAAAGATGGCAAAATTCCTGGCAGATGAGTCTGATGTGAACCCATTTCAGTAACGCTCTGTGTTTTTTTTATATTTTAGGAAGCTAACAGGGATCTTATCAGTCAGCAAAATGCTAATGCTGAACATGTCCAGCAACCACCTGCCGAGCTGTTTGACTTCAAGATCAAGTTTGCAGAAACCAAGGCTTATGCCAAGGTGAGATACAACTCTGACAGAGAGATCAACGTTGTCTTGTCATTCTTGTGCTCAAAAACTCTAATTTGTCTTAACAGGCCATTGAGATGGAGCTGAGGAAAATGGAAGTTGCTCAGGCAAGACGACAGTTGTCCCTCCTGGCCTCCTTCATGCCAGACTCTTTTCTCCGTCACGGTGGAGATCATGACTGTATTCTGGTTTTGCTTCTCATCCCCAGACTCATTTGCAAGGTAAACATTTGTTGTAAAAGTTGACATCAACATTGTGGTTTTCATAGTAGTGTAATAAACCTATGTACCTGACAGGCTGAACTGATCAGTAAACAAGCCCAGGAGAAATTTGACTTGAACAGGGACATTGGGCAGGGGACGGGTTTGAGGGGGCCTCCAGGAGAACAGCGCAGCTTCGCCTCTGGACTCGTGTATTCCCTCAACCTGCTGCAGTCTATATTGCACAAATATGAACAGTAGGTTCTGCAGTAACACCACTGGCCTTTCAAAATAAGAGCTCTGGTTTTATATAGTATGAAAAAATGTGTTGCAAATCCAATACAAACAACCTTCTTCTTTCTGTCCTGTCTAGAGCTCTGAACACGTGCAGTGTTGAGATCTTCAAACGGATGGGCACACTTTACTCTGAAATGGTCTTTCACGAGCGTTCCCTGGATTATTTCATTGACCTGCTGTTTAAAGACCAGCTGGATGAGACTATTCAGGTGGAACCGCTGACTAAAGCGATCAAGTACTATCAGGTAACAGGAACTGGAAATCATGACATCACCAAAATGTATTTGGAAATTTATTAGAAATGTACTGCAACACAAGTTTCTTCAAAATGATCAAATCAGTGGAAACACAATTGATTCAAAAAATCCCCTAAAATGATTTTCTTGAATTTTCTCATCTTTCAATGGTAACCCTCCACATCCCTCACTTTTTATTTTAAAGCAACTGTACAGCATCCATTTGGCAGACCACAAAGAGGACTGCACGGTGCAGTTGGCTGACCACATCAAGGTAACAACAATTTATACTGCTGTTGTTACATGTGATAGTTAAAACTGTAAGCTTTCCTAACTGTTCCCAACTCTTCCTGGCAGTTTACTCAGAGTGCCATGGACTGTCTGGGAGTAGAGTCGGCTCGTCTGCGGGCATTCTTGGCTGCCGGCCAGGAGAGCTCTGATCTTGCTGTGCTTTTAAAGGACCTTGACACTTCATGTTCTGACATCAGACAATTCTGTAAAAAGATTCGCCGCCGCATGCCTGGAACAGATGTGGTTGGAGTACCTGCCGCTCTCAGTTATGGCCCACAGGTTTGTAAAATAAATAAAAAATTAAACGTTTCCAGCAGAGATGACAGTTCTAGTTTAGCTTTGTCCTTGGTGACCTACTGTCTTCTTGACCATCACCTCTTATATTTGGCAGGTGTCTGAGACTCTGACAGACTGCAGGCGCCAGTTGACGTGCATGGTGGCCGTGCTGCAGGAGGTGGCTGCAGCTGGAGCTCAGATGGCTGCTCCACTGCCAGAACAGGAAGGTCTCAATGCTCTCAGAATGGAGGATATTGCCTGCAAGGCTGTTGAGAAGGTAATGTGCTGTAATAAAGATGGAAAAAATGGGGCATGAAGAATTTTTATATCATGTCAAATAAATAAATGAATAAATTACATTCTGGTCTTCACCAAGGTTTATGGCTCCCACGGGCAGAGCAGCCCAGAGTGTCTGCGTCAGTCCTGCACGTCAGTCATTGCCACCATGAACAAAATGGCTACAGCTATGCAAGAAGGAGAATATGATGCTGAAAAACCTCCAAGCAAGGTACCACAAGTGCAAGCCTTATATAGTATCACCTAAATTCCAAACACATAAAGACCTCTCTATATTTTCTTTTTAAGTTCTGACCTTGTACCATTTGCTTGTCTCCTCAGACTGCCCCTGTGGACACAAGAGCAGCCACTGTGAGGGCTGAAATGACAGATGCTGAGGGTCTAGGAGTTAAATTAGAAGATAGAGAAACAGTCATCAAGGAGCTCAAAAAGTCCCTCAAGATCAAGGTAACTTCACAAAGCTGAGAATATTTTTCTTCTGAGAAAAATCAGATAATAATAGTACAGAGTCTAACATTGTGAAACAAATTAAATTTTCTTCAGGGCGAAGAGCTCAGTGAGGCCAACGTTCGTTTGAGCCTGTTGGAGAAAAAGCTAGACACCTCAACCAAAGATGCAGATGAACGGGTGGAGAAGATTCAGACCAAACTAAATGACAACCTGGCCCTGCTAAAAAAGAAAGAAAAGTAAGTCCCTTTTCAAGGCCTACAAAAGTTAGGTTTCAACCATTGTGCCCTTTCACCTCATGTTGTCTACTTCACATCAGGGAGTTTGAGGAGACAATGGATGCCCTGCAGGCTGACATTGACCAGCTGGAGGTAGAGAAGGCAGAGCTGAAACAGCGCCTCAATACTCAATCAAAGATGACAATCGAGGGTCTGAGAGGTGGACCAGCCTCTGGAATTGCCTCAGTTCAGGGATCTGGCGGAGGTAAATGCTTTGTTAACGTTGTAAAGTTATGTATTCAAAAAAGAAAACTATTAACTGGTACATAATGTATAACATTTTTAGGTGTACCTTCAGCCATAGCTGGGCCGCTGCAGGTGGTAGACTCTCCTCTTCTCAGGCAGCAGGTTGAGGCACAAAGGATGGGCCTCAAATACCTCAAGAATGAAAACAACAGACTTAAGGTTTAATGCTTTGGTTCCTATGTCATGTGCTGTCTACCTGAACACTTGTAATAATATTAATATTACTATATTAATAACATTAATACTATTGAGTTTTTTTGGTTTTTATATCACAGGCTGAGAAGATGAAAGCTCAGTTAGCATCCCTGCCTCCCCTAAACCTTCCCAAACTGCCACAAGTGTCCAAAGACAGCTCCATGCCTCCAGAGGGACTGAATACAGGCATTTATCGCAGGACTGACCAACTGCTTGCGACGCTGCTTAAGCTGAGTGCAGAGTGTAAAGTGGTGGACATCACTGGAAAAACAGCAGGTAAACCATCTAATTTCAGTCTGATTTTAATATTTTACCGAGCTGCTGATTTTGGGCACAGTATTTTGCCGATTATAAGTCACAGCAGTAGTTTGGCTGTTTCTGCAAATTACAGTATACCAGAAATATGCCACGAACGATCTATGGCCACAAGAGGGCACAGTCTACACTTGTGACAACTGAATGCTGTTACCACTGAAAAATTACAATTGTAACGAGTTCTGCAAAGACATAAAAACAAAAAAGACTTCCTAACTTTCATAAAGACTGCAATAAAAACCATGTAGAATAGGACCCAAAAATACCATGCTACAGAATTTAATATGCAGATTATAAAAGTATACAGGGTGTATGACGTCTATGCAGATTATAAAAGTATACAGGGTGTCCTCGGTGTATGACGTCCCCAGCCTACAACTTTTTGTGGTTACCTCGCTATCTCCCATAAATTTATTAAGAAAGTCTTGTTCCATCATACCGACATACAGCATTTAAACGAATTTCACACTAGTTGGTGAGTGGATGATTACATCGTCAAGTGTCCCTATACGCGGAAGTTGGCTTTGTTTACGTTTGTACGACATACATTGCATTGTGCTACATTTTCTTTTTGTTTTGTGTTGTTTTTTGGGAGCTTTTTGCCCTTCATCATGGCTCCCAGGGCTAAGTCAGACTCTGATGTTTTTATGGCCAAGATTATGATGTTACAACGGTGTTAGGGTAGGTGAGTGACATAGGTCACATACTGTACGTATGCGAGTTCCAACAAAATTAAATTAGTGCCTCACCTTCTTTCGAGGCTGACGAAATTATTTGAAAAGCCACATTAAGAATGTAATTATTTACTGATGCGTAATAAGATCCGAAACGTGTTAGCCTGTTACACAAATTATTTAGCCTATGTTCTTAAAGACTTTGTGTGAATGAATGTACCTCCCAGAATATTTATATTTTTATTGTTAATTCTTAAATTCATAGCTAATGTATAAAAAACATGCAACTTATAGAATGGTGTCGGATGTTTTTTTTAAATTTTCTTAATGATTGTTGACATTTGTGGCTAATGCTGTGGTACAACTTATAGTCCTGAAAATACAGAATTAGTTTTCACCTGTACCTGGCTCATCATTTGGCTTCTCTTCCTGCTTGCCGTCTCTATTGTCCTCCAGTTAATGCCAGCGCTCAGCTGCTGGAACAGACGGCTCGGCTGCAGAACCTCAGCGATGCTTTGGACAAACTGAAGGTAAGGGCTTCAAAAACAAAACTTTTGTTTTAAGCAGTGCATTATAACCAAGACTAAGCATAAATACTTGCATATTATGTTTCAGGGAGAAGTTGCTGAACATGTGGTCTCACATCAGCGTGGAGCCAAGGCTTCCTCTGATTTTGCCACTTTCCCAGTGTCCTCCTTTGTTAAGGTAAAAAAATAAGACATTCTTAAAAGTTGCTTTTGTTTTAAAATGTTAACCTCTGAATCCCAAAATACTGTTTCCCTCAGGCCAAAGAGGAGAAACAGGGGAAGACGGTGTTGGTTGGTCGTGTTTCCATTCCATGCCAACGTGGGCAGGAGCAAATCCACCGTCTGGTTTTGTCACAGCAGCAGCTGCAGCAAGTTCACTCCCTCCTCATGGCATAAGATGTCACAATATTCATAGACATTAAGAACTCATATCACATTAAGACATCCCTCTTTACGCATTCCAACTTTGATTTAACTCTAACATTCTTTTTTCCCTCAACTTTGCTCTTTACTATACTCAGTAAAATAGATTTTTCTGGACATGGCACTAATTAACAGCACAGCCACATAAAACTTGTTTAATTAACCTGACCACTGTTTTGTAAATTTGACTTTTTCTATACACAAATTTTGCCTGACATTTGCAAATCTGTAAAACTAGTCCTTTTAGCACTCACTTTGTATCCTTTTGCATTTGCGGCTATTAAAGAGATCACACTTAAACATTATGGATCTGACTGCCGTCTGTTTTGTTGACATGTCTCTTCATTTTAACGATTACAGACCAAATGTTAAACATCAAGGTCTGTCATAGGCTTGACAACTTTATTTAAACAAAGACGTAATCCTCACTGCCTTAACTCTACAGTGATGGAGAGCGTCACACTCGATTTAGGCACGCTTTTCATTGTCTCAGGTCTACATAATTATTTCTGTAGTCATTTTTATAAAGATTAAAAGGACTTCATTCCAATGATTATAAATCCTAAACCCCAAAAGAACCCAATTTATAGTAGTAATTTCTATAAGAGGAGTTATTATTTGGCCTACATGTATATGGCATCTGCTGTGTAGACTCAGATGCAGATGGTGGTCATAAGGCCTGAACTGAAAATGTGTTTGGTTGTCATAACCTGCAAACCATGCAGATCAAGAACTTAAACTGAACTGAAATCAATATCTGTCTTTAAAGCATTTAAACCATACACTTTTAACTTAGGATTCCTGTTATTCACTCACTGTGCCAGTCTGGTCCATTGTTAAGTATGGTGGTGGTGGAGATGGTTGGGGAGGCATTGAGCGTCAAACCATACGGAGGCCATTGGTGAGGATCTCCAAAGCTGAATTTCTGGGGGTGTGCGAAAGAGTTGAAGAGTCAGAAACAAACACAGAAGAACAGGGGAAAAAAACGACAATGGATACTAGGCAGTTTTAAGGTATGATTTTGAGTCAGAAATGTCAATGTGACATTTGCAGCACAAATAATGATAATTTTAAAGCATAGTTCTCAAAGTTCTCAAACACTGGAGAACACATTCACTGACATTTATACAGCTAAAAAAGCATAGTAAATATGACAAACTGACGATACACAAAAACATGTTTCAAACAATATAGGTTAAAATAAATGAACTCTAGTGGTAATACTTTAACCTTTATTTAACCAGGCAAGAAATCAAAATCAAATTCTTGTTTACAGTAGTGGCCTGGAATGTGCTGAAGAGATTCAGAAGAAAAACTGATGTAAAACACTGATTTGGTCTTTTTTATGGATTTTTTCACGATGG